CTCGAAGAAATTCTGGCAAACCGTCCGGCGCCTCGGGAGGGGAAAGCAGCTCTCCACCAGCACAGTCTTTGGTGCGGGTGGGGACCTCCTGACCTCGACTGGGGAAGTCGTCGGGCGGTGGAAGGAATACTTCAAGGGTCTCCTCAATCCTGCCGTCACGTCTTCCGAAGAGGAAGCAGAGACTGTGGACTCAGAGGTGGACTCATCCATCACCCGGGCTGAAGTCACCGAGGGGGTTAGAAAGCTCCTCAGTGGCAGAGCTCCAGGGGTGGATGAGATCCGTCCTGAATACCTCAAGACTCTGGATGTTGTGGGACTGTCCTGGTTGACACGTCTCTGCAACATCGCGTGGCGGTCGGGGACAGTGCCTCTGGATTGGCAGACCGGGGTGGTGGTCCCTCTGTTTAAGAAGGGGGACCGGAGGGTGTGTTCCAACTACAGAGGGATCACACTCCTCAGCCTCCCCGGTAAGGTCTACTCCAGGGTACTGGAGAGGAGGATACGACCGATGATCGAACCTCGGATTCAGGAGGAGCAGTCTGGTTTTCATCCCGGTCGCGGCACACTGGACCAGCTGTATACCCTCCATCAGGTGCTCGAAGGCTCGTGGGAGTTCGCCCAACCAGTCCACATGTGTTTTGTGGATCTGGAGAAGGTGTTCGACCGTGTTCCTCGTAGCATCCTATGGGGGGTGCTTCGGGAGTATGGGGTGCGGGGAGTATGGAGTATGGTTCGCATTGCCGGTTGTAAGTCAGACCTGTTCCCAGTGCGCGTTGGCCTCCGCCAGGGCTGCCGTTTGTCACCGGTTCTGTTCATTATTTTTATGGACAGAATTTCTCGGCACAGCCAGGGGGAGGAAGGGGTTCGGTTTGGGAGCCACAGAATTTCATCTCTGCTGTTTGCAGATGATGTTGTTCTGTTGGCTTCATCAAATCCGGACCTCCAGCGTGCACTGGGGCGGTTTGCCCCCGAGTGTGGTGCGAGCGGGATGAGGATCAGCACCTCCAAATCCGAGGCCATGGTTCTTGACCGGAAAAAGGTGGTTTGCCCCCTCCGGGTCGGTGGAGACTCCTTGCCTCAGGTGGAGGAGTTCAAGTATCTCGGGGTCTTGTTCACGAGTGAGGGGCGGATGGAGCGTGAGATTGACAGACGGATCGGTGCAGCGTCTGCAGTGTTGCGGTCGCTGTACCGAACCATCGTGGTAAAGAGAGAGCTGAGCAAGGCAGCAAAGCTCTCGATTTACCGGTCAATCTACGTTCCAACTCTCAGTTATGGTCATGAGATTTGGTTAATGACCGAAAGAACAAGATCGCGGATACAAGCGGCCGAAATAAGTTTCCTCCGCAGGGTGGCCAGGCGCTCCCTTAGAGATAGGGTGAGGAGCTCGGTCATGCGGGGGGAGCTCGGAGTAGAGCCGCTGCTCCTCCACGTCAAAAGGAGCCAGCTGAGGTGGCTCGGGCATCTGTTTCGGATGCCTCCTGGATGCCTCCCTGGGGAGGTGTTCCGGGCACGTCCCACCGGGAGGAGGCCTCGGGGAAGACCCAGGACACGTTGGAGAGACTATGTCTCTCGACTGGCCTGGGAATGCCTCGGGGTCCCCCCGGAAGAGCTTGGGGAGGTGTGTGAGGATCGGGAAGTCTGGGCGGCTCTGCTCAGGCTGCGGCCTCCGCGACCCGACCCCGGATAAGCGGGAGAAGATGGATGGATGGATGGAAGGACAAGACTTGACCTCTTGACCTCATGTCATGCAAGAACCATGTAGCATAAACAACCCCTGACAATTTCAGTTTGAACTGAATGAAACTAAGGATGGAGGCGTCCCAATTCAGTCGCATTTTTTACTTGATTGGCACCTTAGTCTGATTCTTTGCGTACGTCGTTGTCACACAGGTGTCGCACACTGGCAGCATTATCAGAAATCAGAAACTAATTGATTAATAACACAAATTGAGCACACTAGTCCTGATCTGGGATTGCTGTTTTGGTCAATAAACACAAGATACTGAAGAAATTTAGGAACTCCGTCCTGGTCAATCCTGGTTTGTCTTGGCCAGACGCCACTAAGCTTCCCATATTTCTTTGTCATGGTGCCACTTTCAAGATTAGCCCCCACAATGCTCTCTGCTTGCAAACTTAAGCTGCCCGTAGTTCCAGTAAACGCCTCCTCTGGTCTCTACACCATTAAACAGTAAAAGGCTTCACCTGGTGGAACAACGAGGTACTACAGATAATCTGCAAAACATTGTCTGACATGCCTGTACAGATTACAGGTTTTCTCCATCTTTTGGAGCTTGTGGCACCACAGTATATTCCACCCAGACAGTGTCCTACTGGAATTTTACAACAATCTTCATGACCACTGAGAGGTGTGCAGTTACCAAACGTATATGTACGATACATTTTTATGACTTTAGTGTACTAGTAGTGCCGATTATCTGGTAAAATGGTAGTGGATTAGAAGTCGGTACTGGAAAATACTAACTACGAAATGACTCAGATTGGACTCGAGCCAACAAACCCAAAAGGGGCATCTTTAATTACAGCATTAGCTCCATTATTTCACAACCACACATCATTGTATCCAAGTTATTAATTGCATTGCTAAAACTGTGATTTGAAATTGATTACATTCAGTGTCAATATGGGTATGTTAGTGTTGTGCTAATACGGATGAGCAAAAATTGTGAACGTCTGTTTAAACCCAACTTTACAGGCGCTGGTTGACCTCTCTATTATAAATAACACTGTCAGACTGCTGTGTGTTGAATCGTCTGCGTCAACGTGAGACCAAACAGGAAGAGCAAACCCACCGCCCTCCCCCAACATCATACTTCAGCTCTATTTCAGTGTCACCCTCCTGCAGTCAGCAGCAAGTCGCTATGGAGGCTACAGCTCTCTGCTTCAGGCTCTGTGAGTTCAGCTTTCTCACTTTTATTTCAACTCTTGTTCTCTCCCACATCACAAAACTTATGGATCATTGTTTTGTTTTTCTAGTGATGCTTGAATTCCTGCTGGAGATGCACATTCAGTCAGGTTATACTCGCAGAACTGGTGAGTAACAAAGAAAAGATGCTATTTTTAGCATATTTTCCTTCATCTAAATGTAAAACTAAATGTCTTCTTCCAAAGGTACATTTTGTTTGAATGTAGCTTTTCTGTCATCTGTCAGACACATCCTTTTGAACTTTTCTTTTTCAGGTGCAGCTCTGCTTCGAGTCGATCCAAACAGGCTTCAGCACTTTGAATACAAGTCTTTGTCTTTTCACTGCGATGGATTCGATGGTTCCATTAAACTGAGAGGAACCAGGAACACTGAGGAGTTTCCTCCAGTATGTGAAGTCATAAAGACGTCTTGCACAATTTCTAAAACTTATCCAACAGACATGGGAGAGTACTGGTGTGAGTCTGAAGCTGGAAAGAGAAGCAACAGCGTCAACATCACCATCACTGGTAGGTTCTTGTATTTATTTTCTTTTAAACAACCGAAGCTTCTCGTCCACTTTGTCCTGTTTGTCCACTAACGTAATACTTTGTCTACAGTATAATATAAATGAATATAATCAACAAAACTAACAAATGAAATATTTTGGAATGAACACTTTATGGATATTTGTTGATACAAATCAGCATTTTTACAAAACTTACACCAATTAACAGCATTTTGTTTAAAATCAATGCATTAATAGAAGATTTTAACACTGTTAGAAAGACCTTTTTTTCCCCCCAATTTGTTCATGGTGCCACCCAAGTCTGTATTCTTAATCTGTATTTTCACATGATGTTTTCTTTGTCTTCACCTCTCTGCATTGTCTCCAGTGTTTTATTGTCCATCAGTGGTTGCAGATAACACCTCGTCTTTCCTCCATGTTGTCCAGCTGGTCCTGTGATCCTGGACAGTCCTGCGCTTCCTTTGTTGGAGGGAGACGTGACTCTGAGCTGCATGAGCAGAAAGACTTCCACCAAGCAAGCGGCAGATTTCTACAAAGACGGCGTCCTCGTCAGAGGGAGTCCTTCAGAGCAGGTGACGGTTCACAACGTCTCCAAGTCTGACGAAGGACTTTACAAGTGCAGCATCACCGGCGTTGGAACGTCACCAGAAAGCTTCCTGGCTGTCGGAGGTGAGACAAGTCAAGATAACTTGTTGGTTTTATGTCCAGGACTGGTTCTAACTTAGTACTAAATCAGACATATTAATACAAGTTCTGGAGACAGATTTTGGGTATTTGGGCAAAAGCTAATGCCAAGGTCTCTGTTTACTTAAATATATAGTATTAAAAAGGGAATTGATTTTGATTGAGGAACATCTACAACATTGTCCATTTTTTCTTATTTTCGGGGACACAACGTTCCACTATAATAATAACAGGAAGTAGAAGAAGAAGAAGAAGTTCAAAATAGAACCCTGAGCCCCACAAAACATTACTTTGAGGAATCTCTCCTCAAGGAACCATTTTGAATGCAACAGGTTCCTCAATAGTGGCAAAAATGGTGAGGAACCTCAGGGCTCAGGAGGAACCTGTTGAGCCTCTTCTACGTCGAGGTGATATACATGATATGACTATAAATGTACAAAATGTAGTTAGTTTGACAATTAAAGTGAGTTCTAACTTGACAAAGTAAAAATACAAGTTTAACGACAGTATTTTTGTGTCTATTTTTCATAGTTGTTTCATTGGTTTTTTTATTTGTTTGCAACTTTCTCATTTTGAAAAATGTGATTGACAGCGAGGATAAGTTCCATGTTTAGTGTCATTTGCAACGTTGCAGCGAATACCGTTTCTACAACCTCTCCACCAGCGTATGATGAACCTGAATATCCTCGTGACCTCGTCGTGATGTTGGTTCCTCTGATGGTTCTGCTGCTGCTGCTGCTGGTCGCATTAATTTACATCAGGAGACGCATAGGTACTAAAAAATCACTTTTTCCACCAAATTCACTGTTTCTAAGTCATGCATGAGTACAAAGAACATCCATCCAAAGTGCTTCAAACACTGCTGAGGTTCCTTTAAGAATATTCTGCACTGCTCTTGAACTGCAGGTTTTTTTTGTTTTTGTTTTTTTTCATATTTTTATGGTTTTGCTTTTTGCTTTTCTCTCCACCAGCTTCCTCAAAGACGCCAACAGCAGCATCAAACTCGGGCGAAGCAGCTTCAGCAGGTGAGAATTTTTATTTAAAAAAAAAGAATATGTTTAGATTTACTGATAAATGCTAATAAACTTAAATAATAATAATAAAGCAGCAGAGATCAAAGTGGATTATTTTGTTCATAGATGACACATCTGACAGGATTGTGTTTGTTTTTCTGTCAGTTTAAATGCAGATGTTCACTAACATTTTATATCTTTTATATTTCAGCCTCTGGAGGTGAAGCTGAAGACGATGTGAACAGTTTGACTTACGCTGTGGTCACAAAGAAGAGACCAGACAAAGGTTTATTGTTATTTTTGTTTTATATTTGAACGTATGATGAACACAAGGGAGGCCGACTTCTTAGAACTTCATGTTAAAGGACCTGAAAGTGTCAGTTGAGGTTTTGTCACCACGGAAAGCTGCTGGATTTATTTTTGCCTCCAACGTTTTGTCTCACACGCTGCTGATGCAGGAGATCATCTGAGCGGCTGCCTCGAGTCAAACCACAGCAGAAAACCAGTGACAGAACATACGAGGGTCAAAAAACCCCTTTCAGTGTGTCTGCATCAGTATTTATATTTAACCTTTTCTCACCTTCAGGTGCAGACGAGTCCTCGGTTCAGCCCCTTTACTCCACTGTGATGGAGACACGATGTCCTGGTTCGTATCTAATCAACTAAACATTTTTCTACCATTTGTCACAGTTCCTGTGTTTCCTGAACTGATGCAGAACCACAAAGAGATGCTCAAAAATAAACTTTATTAACATGCTGAGCTGTGAAAACCTCCAATTTATGTGACAAGCAAGGTTCAAATACGGACTTGATCTGTCAGTTACTGTTGGATGTGCATTAGATGTTATTGAAAAACTTTACAGGAGCTTTGAAAAATAAACTAATTTAAAAGTTATGACCACATTAAGGCAGCAAATTATATGCTTTTTTAAAAAACATGTTTTGTATCCTTCAAAATACCAATAAACGACTGTGGATTTACATGTAGAATGTAGAATAATATTAAAATCTGTAACCGTGAAAATCTGTCTTGAGTATAACAATTCAAACATTTACGTTGACGTCATCTTACAAATATCTACTTTTTAGGTTATTATATGTCTCGTACCTTGAAATAAAACATGAATTCTATTTGTTTTTCAAGCAGAATCTGGATCATCAGGCTCCACGTTGGCCTTAAATCCCAGGGCAGCCAAAGAGTCAAGTTTACCAGAGCCGGAAATCGTCTATTCTGTCATCCAGATGGTAAGAACGATGGTGATCCTGGCAGGAAACTTGTTGATTATTGAAATATTTGCTGTGTTGTTTGAGCTACATGAGAGAATCGCTCATCTGTCTGAAGTCAACCTTCTTCATTATGAAAGATTTAACATGAACAGCTTGATGTTTTTGTAGTTTTTATACTTGAAGTTGGAGATGTGTTCCTGTTCACTGAAGCAGGTTAATTATTATTACCACATGTTCCACTGAGGTTTTCAACGATGTTCTTCAGACATGACTTTAATATGATGTACAGTCGTCAACAAAAAGTTTACATGCAATTGTTCAGATCATGTGTATCATGTCAGTCTTTTAATGGCTCCTAGAACTCTTGATTTTCTATGATGGAATCATTGAAACACATGAAAAACAACCTTGTACTTTGGTTCTTTCATAGATTTATTGAAGGTTGTCTTGAACGATGACAAAATCTGATGGGTCAAAAATATACATACAGCAACTTGAATTATCAATTTTGATCAGGAAGAAAACACAATTAAACTTTCACCCCAATCACACCAAACCTACCATCAAGCATGGAGGTGGCTGCATCATTACAGGAGTTTGTTCGTATAAAGTTCATGTTGCAGTTGTGTCACTGCCACGATCAGGAAAAAAACATAAACGCATACTTGGTCAGTTTATAAAGTTGGTCAGGATGATCAAGAGTCAACCAGGAATCAGCAGAAAGCAGCTCTGGATGGATCAGAAGCTGCTGGAACACAGCTGTCAGTGTCCACAGGGTCTGACATCAACATGAGCTGAGAGGCTGATGGAGAAGGAAGTTCTTCCTCTAGAAGCAGAAGCAGTTTGGTCGCCTCACAGCTAGAAGGTCGCCGGCAAAGTCTGTTACCAGCTTTGTGTGTGGGAGGAGCAGAGACCTGCTTCAGGTCAAAAGATGCCATAAGTGACAGAAAGTCATTTCCTTGGACTTTGTCTGTGTAGATGTTCACATCTCCCATGACAACAAGTGGTGTGTCATAGTCCTGAATGGCCAAAAGTAGCAGCAGACTTGAGTGGAGCTTTGACGTTCTGCTTCTATCCATCCATCCATTATCTATGCATCGCTTAACCCTCACTAGGGTCATGGGGGGCAGAGTCTATCCCAGCTGACTCAGGGTGAAGGCAGGTTCACCTGGACAGGTAACCAGTCTATCACAGGGCTACACTTAGAGACAGACAACCAAGCACACTCACATTCACACCTACGGACAATTTACAATCACCAATTAACCTCAGCATGTTTCTGGACTGTGGGAGGAAGCCGGAGAACCTGGAGAGAACCCACGCTGCACAGAGAGAGACTCCACGCAGAAAGGTCCCAGTGCCCCCAACGGGATGCGAACCAGCGACCTTCTTGCTGCGAGGCAACAGTGCTACCAACTGGCCACCTTGCAGCCCAACATCCAGCTTGATTCAATCCAACTCAAACCCACAAAATCTGCCAGAAACTTGGGTCCTGTCGATTCACCCTATACAACATCAGGAAGATCAGACCTTTCCTGTCTTAACATGCAGCAACAACTCCTGGTACAAGCTCTAATAATATCACACACTGACTACTGCATCTCCTTACTGGCAGGCCTCCCTGCATCCACGGTCAAACCTCTGCAGATGATCCAGAATGCAGCAGCACATCTGATTTTTAACCAGCCAAAAGCAGCACATGTCATCCTGCTGTTCAGATCGCTTCACTGGCTTCCAGTTGCTTCCCACATCAAATTCAAAACTCTTACACTTGCTTACAAAACCACAATGAGAACATCTCCCTCCTACCTGAACTCTCTCATTCAGATCTACACTCCCTCCCGCTCACTACGCCACAACTAAAAAAAAACACCTGATACAACCACAACAGGACCCGAGGTCGATAGCTGGACTCTTCTCCTCTGCAGTTCCCTGGTGGTGGAACGAGTCACCAAACTCTGTTCAATCAGCTGATTCCCTCTCAGTCTTTAAGAAAAGACTAAAGACCAGCTCTTCACTTTGCAGAGCACCTTTCACTGAGCACCTTTCCTAGTACCTCCCACACAGCCTGCTATTGGCTTCAACACCCTGTCACACTTGAACTTGTTCTATGGCACTTATCCAGAGTGTTTTCTCCTGACTAGATCCTTGTTTGTGTTGTATCTGCTCTCAGATGTACGTTGCTTTGGATAAAGGCAACTGTAGAATTGTAGAATCACATGGACAAAGAAAAGGCCTTCTGCAGGAAAGTTCTGTGGTCAGATGGAACAAACACTGAGCAGAAATATGTCTGGAGGAGAGAAGGTGAGGCCTTTAACCCCAAGAACACCAAACCTACCATCAAGCATGGAGGTGGCAGCATCATGCTCTGGTTCTGTTCTGCTGCCAGTGGACCTGGAGCTTCACACAAAGTCAATGGAACAAAGACGATGTTCCAACCAGACAATGAGCCCAAACACACATCAACGTGGTGAAGAAATGGTTCCATCAGGATGGAACTCAGCAGGTTTTGTCAAAATAGCAGAAGATGTAAAATAAATCTTGGGAAACAATCAAACTGTTTGTTGTGACAAAGGTTCACGTGTTTCAATGATTCCATCGTAGAAAATTCTGAGTATTAGGAGTCATTGGAGACTTTACATGAGCTTTACAGGTTAATCTAAACTATGTTTCACAACTGGACCTGCTTGAAAAGCTCAGTCAGTGAACTTTCGGTCTGTAATAATTCAGCTCTGATTTACTTTATTTTATTTCTGTCTGACAGTAAATGAAGAGCAGAGAAACCTGACTGAAGGACGGAGGCGAGACTGATTAAAGCCGAGCTGGATGAGAGAAGAAACAAATGAGCTTTGAGCTGAAATATTGTTTATTTTTGACAGTTTGTTTTCAACCATCATAGCGCTGTATAGATAATTAATGGATGGATGGATCCTCCCAACATGTTTAACATACAGGAACTAACAACCTGCTGAAAGAAACAACCATCACCACAAAATGTCAACTCATTTCTTTTCAAAGCATTTTTTAGTTTTGTAAAGAAAAACAATGATAGAATGAAAACACCTACTTTTCTTTAACACTCTGAACCCTGAAAACTCAAAAATAACACCAAAATTACACCATTTATCTGATCCAGAAACTCGAAAAACCTGAGTTTTAGCATTTTGAACCTTCTGACAAATCTTGAACTAATCATCTGTGACATACAGCTCCAAGCTCATGTAAATCGAAGCTTAAAATTGTGCTTTTCTTGTCAAAATTATGGATTCTACATGTCTTGTTTCAAAATTAACCAAAATAAAGCACATGGTTTTACAATATTCTACAATATAATAGTCATAGTAAGCAGAGCCACCATGTTTTTTCCAATATTGGAAACACACCTGGACACTTAATTGTAAAATAATATACAATAGTAATAATCAAGAAAATTTAACTTTCGTATCATGATTTAAGGCTTTATA